TAAAAAATTATGTTTTATGGTTAGTATTGAAAACTGTATTCCTGTTAGGTCCATACTTTGATAATGGAAAATAAAAATTGAAGCGATATGGATGCGTGAGTGAATGTTTAATGTATGAGTAAAAAATTATGTGTTAAGTATGGTACTATTGAAGCTGTTGATTTTTTTTTTTGGTTTGATGCATGTGTATTCACTTATGAATATGTGCAGTTTAATTTTATAATTTGTTTGAAAAATGTAAGATTGATTATGATGATAACAATGTACAGGTTCATCAAGTGTCCGTGTACTTGAAGGAAACAATGCTATGATGAATGTAGGTAATGAAGGGATAGTTGGTGGGGGACGAAAGCAAGAATTACCAAAAAAGACTAATAATGGAAAATCAAAGAAGAACAGCAGTGATGATGATTTTGTTGAGAGGAAAAAGAAGATGAATTCTGGATAGAATGAGAACAAAATGAAAAGGAAAAGGGTTGAAAAGATTGTTAGGGATAAAAAGGTTAAGCTGAAAGGGAAAAAAGTAATTGGATCTCAGGATAAATTTAAAGAAGGGAAGTTAGGAATAGAATTTCAAAGGTTGAGTACTCGTATGTCTCCAAACTCATTGTATCTAGCAATTAAAAGTTTGTCAAAAAATCAACGAGAAATGGTATGCAAGATGGGTTTTGGATCTTATATGGGAATGAAGATTGATATACTACCCGGAAAGCTAGCATATTTTGTTGTAGATAGCTTCACAACTAGTTCTTGCTCCATAAAGGTTAAAAGTGGTGAAGTGCCCATAACAAACGAGACAGTTGAAGCTATGTTTGGACTTCCGAATAAGGGTTTGGATTTTAAGACGTTGGGTGAATGTGATAAGAATGATCCATTGCTTGAGGCTTGGAAAGCATAATATTGGAAGGGAAATTATTATAATGGGAACTATTTGAAGGAAAACAAATGTTGCGGATGAGATGTTTAAGCTGAATTTATTGACGAAGACCACGTTTACCCCTCGATTAAAGATCTATGGGTAAGGGAGACACCGATAAAATTTCAGATCGATCGGACCACGTTTACCCCTCGATCCAATCACTTTACGAAGACCGTGCATTGCTACCAAATTTCCAAAAAAAATCTTTAAATCACTTCGTTTTATTGCTTTATCGTGGATGTTGATGTTGTTACGAGACTTCAAATGTGGTTGCAAGGTATTCCATGTGACTTCTATTGGTCCTAGAAGATGTCATTACCCGCGTACATAAATCTGCAATAATTAAGCTTAAACGAGTAAAATTGTCTCAAACAAACAATGTAATAAAATGTATGAAATGCATGCTAAATATATACAATATGTTGCGGAAATGATGTGTAAAATATGATAAAATGATGTTTAAAACTGAACCTAACAAAATATCCCAAAACTTAAACCTTTATCGTCCTCAAGAAAGAACGGGCCAGGAATGAACCGGAAAGAAGAAAAGAAATAAATAGAACTAATAACTAAACTTCTCAAAACTATGCATGGAAAACAAAACATGATCCAAACCATAACCTCATCCATATCAAACAATTAAGAGTATGTAAAAACACCACATGTCTTTAACCAACTTAGTCTTATCATAAAATTAAACATTACAAGATTAAGGCCCCGTTTGATATGCATCTTTCCAGGTCCAAACAAATCTTTCTGGCTGAATGACGATAATAGCTATTGAGAAAAATATATTAGAGACTACTGATTATGAAGAGTTAGTGAATAATTTTGCTTCCAACAATGCTAGGAGAGTCTCGCGATTCATGTAGTTGTCTAAGATTATCTATTGTATGATCATTCTTTTGTTTTGCTTCATATTATAATAGTTATGGAATAATTAATGAATTTTTGCTATAAGTAAAAAATAAATATATATTTAGGGGCCTCTTTTTTATTTTGCACCGGGTCCCTAAAATCAACGGACCGACCGTGATATAACATGAATAGTTTTTAGATTTAAAGTCGACAAATCCAACTTCTTAATGTTAAGGTTATATGTTTTTTTTTGGAAACTTTATATTAGCCAAATGCCCACATGATCCAATGCCTAATTTTTTTGGAAATTTTACATCATGCCCTCAACGTTGTGGCCTAGGGTCAACTCAGACAATATAATGATTTTTTGCTCAAATTATCCAAAGTTAAATTTGAAGAATGATTTTTTGCTCAAATTAACCAACATTAACCATTAACCAAAAAAATACCATTAACCATAACCATTACCAACAAATACCAAAATGCATTAACCAATAGTAATGGTTATGGTTTGATTTTATCCAATAACCAAACAAAACCATCTCATACACAACTGTACTGATCGATAATCTTGGTTCAAATTTCAATGGTAATATATAACTTTCTGATTTTATGATAATCTCATTTCAAATTGCTTCATAATTTTAGATTTTCGGTATTCATATATATATATATAATATATATATATATATATATATATATATATTATATTATATATATATATATATATAATAAAAGAATAGTTTTATTCTCCTTTTGACATGTTTTAGGTCTCCTAACTAATGCATATTTTATTCTTTACTAGGCGTGAGACTCATGCATTACATGAGTTTATTTAAAAAAAATTAAATATAAAATTTTAACAATTTGAAAAGTTTGAATTTATAAGAAAAATAATAATTTTTTTGAATTATTAAAGTTAATGAGGCTTTAATGTATTGGATACATTACATATATAAACCATTTCTAATAAATACGTTACATATATATTTACCTTACATATTAAATGTGAAATTTTAATTTAATAAAATGAAAAATACAATAAAATGACAAATGAAAAATAGAAAATTTAAAAATGTTAGAAAATGTCATGTGTCCAAATGAAGGAGAAGATGACATGTGGTAAAAAAACATTCATTTATTAAGGAGGATATTAGGTATGAAACCCATGTATTACATGAGTTTATTTAAAAAAAATTAAATATTAAATTTTAATAATTTAAAATTTTTGAATTTATAAGAAAAATAGAAAAAGTTTAAACTATTAAAATTAATGAGGCGTATTGAATACATTATAAATCTTTTCTAATAAATACCTTAAATATATATTATCATATATATTAAATGTGGAATTTTAATTTAATAAAAAGAAAAATACAATAAAATAACAAGTGGAAAATAGAAAATTCAAAAATTCTAGAAAATGTCATGTGTCCAAATGAAGGAGAAGATGACATGTCATAAGAAAGACTTAATGGATTGACGACAATAGCTGTTGAGAAAGATATATTAGAGACTATTGATTATGAAGAGTTAGTGAACAATTTTGCTTCCAAGAATGTTAGGAGAGTCTCGCGATTCATGTAGTTGTCTAAGATTATCTATTGTATGATCGTTCTTTTGTTTTGCTTCATATTATAATAGTTATGGAATAATTAATGAATTTTTGCTATAAGTAAAAAATAAATATATATTTAGGGCCCTCTTTTTTATTTTGCACCGGGTCCCTAAAATCAACGGACCGACCGCGGTATAACATGAATAATTTTTAGATTTAAAGTCGACAAATCCAACTTCTTAATGTTAAAGTTATATGTTTTTTTTTTTTTGGAAATTTTATATTAGCCAAATGCACACATGATCCAATGCCTAATTTTTTTGGAAATTTTACATCATGCCCTCAACGTTGTGGCCTAGGGTCAACTCAGACAATATAATGATTTTTTGCTCAAATTATTCAAAGTTAAATTTGAAGAATGATTTAAATTTTAGATAAAAATGATAAACTTATTGATAGAATTTCAAATTAACTTTGTATGTTTCATTTTCAATATTATTTTTTTAACTTATTAATCTACTTATTATTTATTTATTTTTTTGTTTTATCAAATAATTTATTTAGAATCAAGAAATCAAGAAAGATTTACATAAACTCACAAGGGACGAAGAATATATGTGATTGGTCGATTGGGTATCTGTTTCACAGTTCAATGGGCCTCGGCCCAGTGGATAGGGTTTGATGTTACGGCTTACGCGTATAAAAATTGATTCATCTCCACGTTAGGGCTGGAGTACAGCGTAGAGGCGGAGGAGAAGCCGGCAAATCAGGGGACGATTGCTTCACTTTATAACGGTAAATCCTAATCTTCCGAGTCTACTAATTTCATTACTGTGTGATTTATGATACGGATCCCGATCCCGATTCGAGGACAATGGTTTTGTTTAGTTATTTTCTAGGGTTTGTTTTCTGTGTTTCTTTTTCTTTCTGATATAAGTTTCAATGATTCATCGACTCTGAATAAACTAAGTCTATTTATTTTGCATCAAATTTAGGCATAAAGATGTTTCAAATTGATCGAAAAATTATTTTTATGCCTTTACAAAGTTGTTTCATTTTCATTTTCATCGTAGTTTGGTTAGGTTTGGTTTGAAGGGGGACACGAAAAGTCGAATATTAATGTAAAATTTTTGATTTCACCATGGTTTTATATGCTTGATTCATGGATATGCCGAGTAATTGGATGGAATACATAAATAAATAATCTCTTGGTAACATACTTTTGGTATTTGTTAACTTTCTTGATTGGTTTTATTCTGTTTGCTGCTATTATGGATTTTGTTTGTTCTTGCAGTTTATTTATAAGAAATAAATAAATCGTATTGGTGGTTTTTTTTTTGTTTTTGTTTTTGTTTTTGTTTTTGTTTTTACCATTTCCAACCCAGAGGCATCTCTGAATAACCAATGATAAACCTTTAACATTTGATGGCATCCACAGCAACTTAAGTATGAGTACGTCAGTTTATGCACATCTGTACACTCATACCATGAGCATATGTAATCTGCATCAATATAGCTTAAATCGATTAACAATGATTGGACAAGTTTATCTGGGATTTGGTGAATTATTTATGCATATGTATATCACAAGGCAATTGTATTGATTTTGGGCTTTGGTTTTTGTTCTCTTAATTAAGACGAGCTTTCTAATTCTATTGTGCAGCAGGGTTCAAAAGTCAACAAAACTGCAGATGGATGGCGAAATGAAGAATGACTCAGGTTTGGATGTATTCTTTTGCAAGAAGTTACTGTAAATATGTTCAATTAGAGTTTTAGATACACAGACACGAATCATATAAAAAATCATGCTTGTATTTAGAATCTTTAGAATGCAAAGTCAAATAGTTTAAAATAACACACAGAACAAGTTATTTAGAATCTCCACGTGGTGATGCTAACCACTTAGTTAATAACTTGTGCACCGGTATTGTCTTCTTCTATGGAGAACGGAACAGCCAAAACCCTAGATTTGTCATCAATCTGACTTGGTGTAGAGTTTTGACATCTGGCTAATTTCTCTTCTTCTTCGGATGCTTTATACTGATGAAGTTGTTGTTACATAGAACTCTCTCTCTCTCTCTCTCTCTTTCTCTTTATATATATATATATATATATATATATATATATATATATATATATATATGTTTCAAAAAGAGAAACAGTATTGAAAGAATAAGGTTTAAATCCTTTTGTTCAAAGTTTTAAGGTTTTATTAGGATGAGTTTATATTTTATTCCGAGTTTAGAGTTGTGTTTGGAAAAAATAACCCATTTGCAGAAATGATGCACATTGATTTTTACTGGGAATTGTTTGTTATGCTGAATCTAAATTCTTTGATGCAGGGAAGGTGACACAAGACATGGATCAAGGACACTGTGAATCCAGGTTACTTACTGGATATTTTAATTCTTTTTTGAATGATAATAATTTAAAAATATGGGCATTAGAGAATGATAAAGAAGTTTCACAGATTTTTATATTCTCTAAAGTTTCCATTATTTTGGATTTTTAATCGGTTTCCTATTTTTATCAACTATCTTTTTATTTTGAACTTGATCTTTTTATTCTCCTATAAGTTAGTAGTAGTAGATTTGTTTATATTTTTCAGTGTAGATAGCTTTTCTTTGGATTCGTTGGTCAAGGATATAAATAAAATTGTGAGGTGTATTGGGTCCATGGTAAACAAGTTTGAAGATCTGAACAAACGTGTACAACTTATGGAGAAGAAGTTAAAAAAATATCAACAATATAAAGATTATAAGTTTAAGATTCCTACAGAGGAGAAGCCATCTTCTAAGGTACATATACCACCAGCTTTCCCTGAGAAGTTCGATCGTGCTGTCTTTTGCAAATGGGTAAAGGATGTAGAATTGTATTTTGAGTCTGGCTGTGTCTCGGAGCATGAAAAAGTAAAACATGTAGTCTGCACATTGCCATGCGATGGAGAGGCTTTTAAATGGTGGCAAGGTATCCAAGAGCTAAGCAACACAGTCGATAAAATACATGTCATTAAGTGGAACGAGATGAAGAGGTTGGTTATCAATAAATTCCTTTGTCCAAAGATTGGTTTGATAGCTAACAAAACATCCTAATTTTCTTTGTGATGGGTTTGGATTTGCATGTATTTGGAGTGTAAGGAAAATTAAAATCCCTTGCGGTGGTTTGCTTGAAAATATTTTGACTCAGCAACTCTTTAGTTATTTATGTTTTTTACAAACTTCTATTGTGCGTTTGTACATTAATGATTAGTTATTTAATTATTATATGCTGTATCATGCAAGTATTGTTTCAAGGTAATCTTGCTCTTCATGCTAGAGTATCAATATTCTTTTTAAAACATCATGATTGAATTTTACAAGTAAAAATGTATAATAAATTAATAATATGACAAAAAGTTTGGAAATTCAAATCAGAATTTATAACATCTCGCGATTAAACTTCAGATAGCAGGAACATAAATTAATAACATAAAGTTAAAACTTTTTACATATTCAAAATAGAATTTCCAACTACATGATTGTAAACGTTGTACATTCAAAAAGAATCTCTAACACCATGAACATAAAGTCAACATTCGTACAATCTACAACTAAAATTCATACAAACAATAAGAAGATAGAAAAATCAAAGAAACAAATATCTAATTGCGAAACTTAAGTGACCTTGTGGTAGAAAATATATGTACATGGGTATATGTGTGTATGTATTCGAATGAAGTATCCAAATTTTTTGTCGATAGTGGGACGTTCAAGAAAAAAACATTTTTTTGTAGCATTGTGTTGAATTATCTGAGCCTCTACAACCTAGTAATTTAGATGGTAAACCTATAAAAATAAGAAATCTATTCGGTCTTCCAATTTAGATAATAAACCTACAAAAAGAAGAAAGCTATATGATAATACACACCATATAATCATTCTACTAACTTTTATACATTTACTTCATATTAACTTAATCATTATTGTTTTTATAAAACAATCATAAATTTAGATGTAATCCCACAAATTTAATATTAATTTTAAACTTCTTTTTAACCTTGTTTTCATTGATTTTTTAACTTGGTTTTTAGATGTAATCCCACAAATTTAATATATTTTTATTTTTTCCATTTTCATAAATTTAATATAATATATTTTTTTGTTAGAAGGCCATTATTTTTTTTTTCATTTCAATAAACCTAATATAATCAGTTGATATATATATAGTATATTATATATATATTATATATATATATATATATATATATTATATATATATATAAGAAAAATATATTTTAAACAAATCTTTTTTATAAAATATAGACATGACATATATAGTTTGTTGTAATTATGGTTATTAATGTTAGATTATCACCTCAAAGTTGTGTATCAAATAAAAGTTTTTGCGAAACCGTATTTTATATTAATGATTAAATGTTATGAACCTTATAACAATTATATGTTTTAAAAATAATTAAAGGTTAGAGTGTCATATCTCCGATAACTCTCCGTCGAAACTGATTAATATTTTTATTTCAATCTACAGACTAAAAAGTATTATAATATGAAAATAATTCGTCATCATATTTTTTATCCTTATCGTAAACCTACAAACTTAATACATTTTATTTTTTTCCATTTCCGTAAACCCATCTTTTCTATAGCATAAATTTTTTAACTATTTTTATTTTTTGTTAGACCAGAGACAGAACACAAGAGGGGTTGGAGGAGCCCATGGCCCCCCAGCTTTTTATCCTTCTATGTATGATAAGAGGGGTTGGGGGAGCCCATGACCCCACCAGCTTTATATCCTTCTATGTATGATAAGAGGGGTTGGGGGAGCCCATGGCCCCCCAACTTTTTATTTTATATATATATATATATATATATATATATATATATATATATATATATATATATATATATATATATATAGGGTTAGGTTCATTTGAGACGGCCTAATTTTGTGAGACCATAAGACGTATTTATTTATTTTTTTTATTTTTATTTTTTTAGTTAATTCATGTTCCGAAAATAATATTTAAAAAAAGAATTTTTGGATTTTTCCATTTATTTTGCATTTTAAAATTATTTTTTCGAATATGTACAGTGTAATATTCTATTAGAATATTTCACGTATTTTTAAAAAAAATGGGATTTTTTTTTAATTTTTTTTTAATTTTTTTAGTTAATTCAAGTTCCGAAAATAATATTTAAAAAAAGAATTTTTAGATTTTTCCATTTGTTTTGCATTTTAAAATTATTTTTTAAAATATGTACAGTGTAATATTCTATTAGAATATTTCACGTATTTTAAAAAAAAAAACGGGATTTTTTTAAATTTTTTTTAACTTTTTTTTTAAAATTTTTTTTAGTTAATTCAAGTTCCGAAAATAATATTTAAAAATAGAATTTTTGGATTTTTCCATTTATTTTGCATTTTAAAATTATTTTTAGATTTGGTCTCACGGTCTCACAAAATTAGAATGGTCTCAAATGAATCTGAAACTATATATATATATAGCTTAGATATTATATTATATATATATATATATATATATATATATATAAACAATTCCTTTTATATAAAACTCTTTTCCATCTACTGTCAATCATAATAATTCCAAGATATTTTAGAAAATATATTACATAACTCATACCACTCATATGCTGCTTGACCTTGTCATTACTTTTAGTATATCAATTTTAAATGAGGTTTTAGATTATGATGAAAAGGATATATATAATTAATAAAATTAATTATGTGGTTGAATTTAGTGCATCAAATAATATGAGTAATGAAACGAGTTACCTATTAGTTTTCTTCTATTATTTTATTTGAAGATTTAAATTATGTTTACTCTTTTTTATGTACAATCATCTCTATTTAATGAATTCACATCCAAATAATCTGCTAAGTAAAAATTGAAATAATTTCATTAACAACAAACCTTTCCATATATAAACAAATAATATTTGTTTATTTTAAGTTATATAAAAGATACAATGTCAAAAATACAAAATCAATATTCATGTATTTATATGGTTTTGTTTTAAAATACGGTTACATAGTAAAACTGAAAATAAGTTCTACATTGATTAACAATGTAAGAATATATCTTATTGGTTGTATTGTTTAGATTGTTTGATGTATTATAACTTTGAACCATATTAAATTATATGGTTTTGTTTTGTTTTAGAATTTTGGTTTTGGCCCCCAAGCTGTAATGTTTGTGTTCCACCCATGTGTTAGACGTAAGCCACAATTGTCTTTTTTTAGACTTTTTATTTCATTTTCGTAAACCTAATATGATTAATTATAAAAAAATTATATGTTACTATCTAAAAGAAGTATAAAGTCATAATTTTTTTTTTCTATGTCGGTTGATAAAAATATATTACCTTAAAAGAGTATGTATATTTATAGTTTAAAAAAAGTACGTATATGTATAATTACAATATATTATAAAGTATAATACAATAATTATAAAAGTTAGACGTCATATATGAGAGAGAGAGACAATTTTTTTTCTATGCCGGTTGATAAAAAATATTATCTTAAAAGAATATGTGTATGTATAGTTTCAAAAAAGTACATATATGTATAATCACAATATATTATAAAGTATAATACAATAATTATAAAAGTTAGACGCCATATATGAGAGAGAGAGAGTAATGGGTAGAAAAATGTGAGTAATGGGTAGAAAAAAAACCGGGACTCCTAATAAAAAATAAAAGTAGGTGTATGTGTGTAAATTAAAAACCTAGAACCCTACGATAGACTTGTGTGTCCATTAGATTGGTGTGTGAAAAAAAACCTTATAGTTTTAGGAGAAAAATTAATAATTACGCTTAACATATTTTAAAAAGTTTAAATTTTCCGAAACAAAACAAAATTATTATTAAAACATTTTGAGAGAGTTGTATTTTTGGAAACTTTTGACCTGCTTCTTTTCATACAAGAGAAAGAGATGAAAAACTCAAATCTTTTCAGAAAATAGGGTGCGTTTTAGGTGCCACAATGTTGCAGTTCTCAAGCCCAACATGTGTATCAAACCACATCACTCACGAATCACCTATGGACCACAATGGTGAAGTCTGAAGAACAAACGTACTCAACCCGACACTCGACCATGGCCCACAAACACAACCCGTTTCCCGAATCATCTTCGAGCGGCAAAAAGTTAGCCGGAAAGCAACAATTCAGCCTCTTTCATGGTTCACATCTTAAAATGAACCACCAGACTTCACCTCCAAAAGTCAGTCAACAGTCACAAACACAGACACAACCACAAACAAGTCAGTCAACAGTCACAGACACAGACACACCCACAGACAGTTGTTAGTTTTGAAGGTAATAGCAGCGATAGCTATGAAAAGTTGTTCTGCGATGGGTATCCACCACCGACAGCAGCTAGGGTGGTGCAACCGGTGGTGCAGTCGTCATATTGTGCTCTCTCTCTTCTGTCATCGTCACCTTCACAGACATCTTGTACGACATTGAGCCATGTGATGCACCCGTCTAACTCGTATGGGGCTCCATCAAATCCAATGGATCCGGGTGCGGGTGCGGGTTATGGTGGTCTTGAGTCGATTATGGATCCTAATGGAAATGGGAATGATTGCGATGGGATGATTCAGATGGGAATTCATCATCATCAACATCAGCATACATCGCTTGATACTGGAGCTCCCCAAACACTTCCGTTCTACTGGGAATAAGTGTTGGTAGTTGAACAAGTGATGATAAATTTCAAAGTGTTTGTAGTTTGTATGAGATTTGATTTGGTTTAACAGTCACGTTTTGTAGTTGTTTGGGTTTGCGTAGAAGGTTAACAAAATTTGTTGATTGAACTTTAAGATGATGGTGATCCCTTTTAACAAAATTTTATTGAATGTCCTCTCTTATTGCTACAGTAAAACATAATGGGCCGAAAAGGCATTGTTTCTACAAACATTGTTGAACCTTGAAAGTAGAAGGGGATAAATCAAAATTCAAAAATGGTGCGTTTGGTTGTGGAAAACTGTTTTCATTTTCTATGAAAATATTTTTAGAAAATAGGGTTGAGTTTTCATTTTCAATTTTCAATGAAAACGCGTTTGGATGGAACGGGTGGAATTTTTATTTTCTATCTTAGAAATTTGGAAAACTTTGGAAAACTGTAAAAATCACTTTTCTAATTTACATATAATTTGGAAAACTGAAAATTTTTATTTTTTTAGAAAACTTTGGAAAACTGAACGAATCAA